AGGAGTGGCGGCAGCCGGCGTTCGCCTGGAAGAGGCGTGGGTGCGCGAGCACCGTCGCCTCCGTCGCCGATGCGTTCGCGATGGTCGCGATGAGAGCGGCGCGCTCGTCGGCGCGCGCCTGGGGAGGGAAATGTCGCGGAAATGTCGCGGGCGTGTCGCGGGCGGGCGGCGGGGCGGGCGGGTGGGCGGCTTCGGGCGGATCCCTGGGCCCCCTCTCGACCCCTCTCGGGTGGTCACCTCGGCCGGGGACGCGTACAGCGCCGCCTTCATCGCGGCGAGCGTGTAGAGGGGGAGGAGGCGCAGGTTCTCTGGCAGCAGCAGCGCCGCCGTCGTCTTAGCGTGTGGGGGGCAGAGCGAGCGGTACGCGCGCAGCGCCTCGAGGCATGCGTTCTGCAGCTTCTCGGCGCCCGTGAGCGGCGACGCGCTCAGCGTCGCCTCGGCGGCCAGCCGCGCGGTGAGCGAGACGCACGCGTCGACGTCGGCCGAGTCGAAGATCGAGTTGAGGGCCGAGGTGACGGGCAGCTCGAGGGTGAGGACGCGGATGCGTCGCTCTCCTGCGGAGTCAAATGCAGCCGGCTCACGAGTCGACACCCGAGCGGGAGGGCCGGCGGTGGTCCGCTCGCCCGAGGTGGTTGTGTAGAGGAGCGCGGCTTGCAGGCAAGCCGTCGACGCGCCGATCTCGTTCTCCTCGTGCGCGATCTCGACGGCGAAGGACTTGTCCTCGTCCACCTACCCGCGGGGACAGCCAGCCGTGCACTCATCACTGGAAGAGGCAGTCTCTATGGGCGTGCCCAAGCGACACCTACTCACTCCGACCCGCCCGTCGGAATGCGCGGCCCCCCCGCACGCGGCCAAGGTCCCGCCCTCGGGCCACGTTTGGGAGCGCGAGGAGGTCGACGCCCCGGATGAAGAAGTGGCCGTAGAAGGCGGCGATCCGCAGCCCGCGCGAGGCGCGGACGCGCATCACCGCCTCGAGCCCCTGCTCCCGCGTCAGCGAGTGCTGCAGCGCGCGCGAGAGGCGCTCGCCTACAGGGAGCATCACACCGCTCGCCTAGGCAGCTGGTGCGCAAAGCGATCCTCGCGGCCGGCGGGATGAGAGCGCTGCAGCGAGCGCGCGCGCGGGGGGGGGGGCGCGCGCCCGCAGCCACGTCCGAAAAGGCGGGGAAGTGCTGCACCGAGCCGCCGGTGTGCCGCGCGAGCAGCGCGAGGGTGGCGAGGTCGGCGTAGGCGGAGTGGCACGCCCACACGTCGATGCACAGCTGCTGCTTTGAGCAGTCAACCGCCTGGGTGGGCGGGGAGAGAGTGTGAGAGTGCGAGAGCAGCTGCAGAGACCGGGGACGCAGGCGATATATCTCGCCATATCTCGCTATATCTCGCCATATCTCGCCATATCTCGCCATATCTCGCTATTCTCGCCAGCGTCTTGTAAAAGTCGCAGGCGGGCGCGAGCAGCCCGCCGCCCTCCGCGCCCTTTCCGTTTGCGGCGCCGCCCGCCCCCTCGCGGTTGAGGAGCTTGCCTTTGGGGGGGAGGAGGGGGTTGGGGACTGGGACTGGGACTGGGACTGGGGTAGGGTAGGATTCGGTAAGGGGGGGGGGAATAGGGTCGCGCTCGCCGTCGCCGACGGTCGGCCGCGTCGCCGAGAAGAGGGAGACCTTCCCGCCCACGTGCTGCGCCACGGTGTACGCCGCCTGGCGAGAGAGGCCGGGGGTGGGGGGTGGGGCTGGGGGTGGGGGTGGGGGTGGGGCTGGCTGGCGCTGGTGCTGGGGGGGGTGGTG